TGTTTCACCCCCAACGGCGTGATCTACACGAGGCTCGAGTCTAACGATTACGACGGACAGAGATACGGTTTCACGAAGGACCGTCGGCCCGTGGATCCTTATGACGACACAGCGGGATTTTTCACCAAACGAGGTGATCTTAGCGTTATTATTGTTCTGCATTTTCATATAATCTATCAAAGAAAAAAATTAAAGCTCCAATAATAAAGATTCCCTAATAAATTTGAGCTCGACTTTTTATATTCTAGCAATTTACAATCTCTTAAATTATTGAAATAATTGTTATGAAATGAATTAAACAAATAATTCAAATAAAGGCTCTAATGTGTAAATCAATAAATTATAATTACAATCTGTGTTGGCTCTCAAAGGCTTCTCTTTAATGTTTTGATATGAATTAAATTTGAATTAAAACGAATGAAAAATAATTTGATATAGGCAAGCGAGAAATATTGGATGATATCGTATCAGCCGCGGAAAATAATGAAGAATCTGATAATGACATTGACTTGGATGATAGAGACAGACGCGCGATTGACGAGGAAGATGATGACGATATGATGCAGGAGATTGATATGCTGTCGCGAGAGGTAAACGAAGAATATAAGAAAAACTTTGATAGGTACGAAAGTAATTATTAAATATCGTAGAGTTTGGAAGAGCTTTTTATTGTGAAGCTCTGTATGACATACATTTCAGAACCGGCAGTAATACAAGAATTGAGAACTCCGATGAAACTGACGAATTAAACAAATACATTGTCGACTACTTGGATTACGGCTACTCGATAAACGATTTTGATCCTACTTTAGATAAGATTGTTAACGGTCGATTAAACTTGAATGATGTAATAAAAAGGCATCGGAGAGTACGAAGAAACGTGACGAAGAAGGATACTATAGAACATGTCACAAAGATTATGGAAAGCATTGAAGAAGAACTAGATGACTTGAAGGTAACGTTTGACGAAACGTCGGGATATTATGCTAATAATTTTATATATATTATTATAAGCAATTTATTATTTTAGCAAACTCAAGTTCGTCACTTATCATCCGAAGTAGAAAAATCACTGTCGCCAAAATGTTTGGTTTTACCGGAAGGGGGTGTAAATTGTACTGAAGCTATATATCAAGATCCTAACGAGTGGCGAATATCTAGACGAGAGATTGAGCAGCAAATCCGAGAGATGCGAATGCAATTGGAAACGTTGAAAGTAAATTGTATAAATATATATTAATACATTGTACAATATAATATGATATAATGTATATAAACCTTTTAATTAAGTTTTATGACAACGTCTATGTATTTGCAGGAGATTCGCAGGCACTTAATGATCAAACGACCACAATTTTCGGATAATGAGGAGAAGCTTGCTGACGCAGAAGAAACTCGCAGTTCGCACAAAACCCACCATCATTCTCCAAAGGGACACGCAAGCCGCCATCATAAAAAGCACGATAAAATTGCTCATGCTACTGCAGATCTTATCACAAACACGACTACGGAGTCTGTTACGAAGATTAATACTACTCCGAGCGATGAAAAATCGTCGACGACAGAAGAGAAGATCGACAAATATAGTTCTATCGAAACTTCTACAACAGAGACTGCAAGTGAAACATCAACGACGATGATTCTAACGACAGTTAAACCGAAGAAACAACCTCGTCGTCAGAAGATTAAAGAAACACCTACAAACAAAACAGAAATCGAAGAGGATAAGCCGCAAAGGCGCAAGAAAACGCATCATCATCGTAGAAACAATACGCTACTTACGAATAGTGTACACGATGATGTCCCACGCGCGAATGCAACATATGTTACTAGCGATGTAACATTGTCTACGCAAAGTCCTACGACTCGCGAGAAACACAATCACAAATTTATGACTGTTCCTGCTACTACGATTACAGAATCAAGCACTGTGAAGCAAGGAAGTCATTATTCAGAAGTATTCAGGAGTAATAACGATTCCAGCGAAGATCGTACTACGGAATCGATCCCAGTTACTGAATCTGGATCGACTATAACAATGACTTCGATACACATGACAGAGGTGCCAAAAACTAATCCGGCTATTGATAAAAGTTTCGGTCGACCTCGGAATACATCCATTATATTACCGACTACACCGTCAATGAAGAGATATCCCAAGATACAAAAGAACAGGACATCAGGTATTCTTGGACCAGCGAGGATCGACGTTACTATTCTTGAATCTCCTGATAGAAAACACAAACAAGGTGTGAATCTTGATTAATTTTAGTTCCTGTCTTTAAAGATATTTTTCATTATATAATTTTTAATTTAGGTTTAATCAATAACAACGATCGTCTGCCACCAATGCTAAACACTCCATTAGAAGCACGACATAAATGTTATTGCGAACCAGATACAAAAAAAGATGAGAAAGAGATTGCTAGGGAAGAAAGACGAAGATTGAAGGAGGAACGTTTAAAGAAAAAAGAGCGAAAACTCAGAAAGAAGGCAAAGTTGGAAAAGGAATGCCTGACGGAAAAAATGAACTGCTTCGAGCACGATAACGATCACTGGCGTACCGCACCTCTGTGGAATGCGGGACCATTTTGCTTTTGCATGAATGCTAATAATAACACGTATTCGTGCATACGTACAATTAACAAGACGCACGATTTTCTTTACTGCGAATTTACCACAGGATTAGTAACATATTATAATTTAAGACTCGGTATGTATGAAAGGTATCTCAAGGATCAAAATTTTACGAAAAAATTATTGATTTACTTTCATTTTTTGTCATAGATCCATTTGAACAATGGAATAGAGCTTCATCTTTGACGCCCACTGAAAAATCTTATCTACACGATCAATTGGAACATTTGAAGGGCTGTAAAGGTACATGGGATTGTACAGTCGGTAACGCTAGAGAGGCTATGCCACAACTACAGCAGCACCAACGATATATTTCGAAAAGAAAATATAATGATGCATTCGGTACGTTTTGTAAAAAAATATTTATATGTTAAATAATAAAAGTCTTATAAATTATTTTAGCAGAAGATATGTTCGTACCTTCGGCGTTACAAATTATACGCGAAAGCGAACTTGGCAGTCCACCTAATAAAAGACGAAAGAAGTTACAAAAGTAAGTGTAGAGGTGTTTTTAAATATTAAAAATAGTTGAATCAAATATGATAATGTGAATTTAATATCAATATCATTTTTGTTTTAGTTGGAATAGGCGTAGTAGAAGTTGGCAAACTAGCTGGCGACATCATCAAGATTCAATGAATCCCCGACGTCATAATTATAGACATCAATACTGATTTATCTTTTTTTTTACGCTTCAACGATTTCGTGACAAATTGCCTTAGGTATATATTGATTTCGCAATGCATTTAGTAACCTAATTTATTTAGTAATAAATAATGAAGAGACCGAGCTTATATTAGCAGATATTTAAATTAATATAACTCGATTTAATTAGACCTTCGTCATCCACATTGTGCATGTTTTCAATACATTTTATGGTTACTGTCAAATTTGATTGTAGAAATGTCATATGCACCGTGTGGAGCACATTTATAAATATATAAAATATGTAATTTTTATATGATTTATATACGTTTTATATAATTGGAACTATAAATAATTAAATACGTAGTTAGGTAATTTTGTTTCACAAATGTCTTTTGATGATAATTTATTCATTTTTTAAAGAATTAGTGAGAAAATAATTATATTGTGCAAGCAACTTGTCTAAGTATAGCTTGAAATTTTTATAATATACGTCATGACTAATCGCATTTGTTTAAAAATTAATAAATTGAATTTGACAATATTATTACTTTCCTCACTGTTAACATGTCGATATTAACCAATGTCAATATACATTTTCTTATTACACAAAAAGTATTTATTAGAGTATCATTACTGAAATCAGCTGTGTAATAGAAGACTGAACACACAACGAAAAGAATAACTTTATCTTCCCTTGCCAATTACAATCTTTCTGTAATGTATTATTTGTGTAACAATTAGAAATGTTTATCAAATGCTGCCATTTTTTTTAACTCCCCTATTGCCTTTATACAAAATGTACACATATCCTTATGTAATGCACTGCCAAAACATTTATAAGCATCGATATTCTTGGTATATCATAATATTGATTCTAAAGCAAGAATAGATGATATAAGCTCTAAGCTTTTTAGTTGAATTTTTACGATTGTTCAAAAACATAAAATTACTGTAATTACAAAATTTTTATTTGGAACTTTGACTCTTTTAATCTAACGATAAGTAATCATATTTGTCCTCATATTATTTTAGCACAGCGGTTTTAGTATAGCAAAATGATTATTGGTAACGCATAATATATATCGAGGAAAAGTAGAATGCTGGTGTATAATATAACTAGGAAGAAATAAAAATAAACATGATAAATTCATACATATTCTAACATGTACAGTCTTTATACGGCTACATAATTTTTTTTTTTAGTTACTTATTTTTATAATATGTTGTATGAGTTTTTGTTGATATTGCAATAGTTTACAAATTCAAATTATTTTAGATATATAAAAATTAAAAAATGTATGTAATAACATCTTTCAATCAGCATTCTACCTTTCCTCTCTTCTTTATATTATATACTAAACTGTCATTCACATTTATTTTTATTAGAAAAGAAATGTAACAAAAGAAAACAATGTATTTAAGTCTAGAATTTAGAAGAACAAACATTTTGTCTCTGCGGTATTATTTTCTTTATATAGGAAACATTATAAATTAAAAAATGTTATTTAATTACCAAAAATACATATGTATGTATATAGATAATGAGAAGTAGGTAAATAATTTATGCATTTAATTGAAATTGTAGAATATATATTAAAATTTGTGAAAAAAACAATTGATATATTTTTTTGAATTTTTTATGTATTAAATTCTGTAATAAAATGTTACTTTTCAGGAAAATGATATATATTTAATTCAAATACTGTAAATTTCTGCAGTGTTCTTTTACTAATTTACATAGGAACTATCCAATCATTCATGAAAATTAAATATCGATAGGATCATCTAATTCACTAAAAGTTTCAAAGATGTTAGCAATATCATTATGATCTTTGTTTGATTTACCGCTATCTTGCAAATTACATTTATCTTCGATTCTACAATTATAACTTGTAGAACATATCTTCTCCGTTTTATCAGCAATATTTTCACTTACAAAATCATCTACAATATCTTCAGAATCACATAAATCATTATTTATAGCATTACATTTCTCTTTTGTTATCATATCTTCAGTCTCATGAATACTATTAGAAAATGAATTTTGTGCATCAGATAGATATTCTTCCTTTGGCGAGTATAGATATTTTGCCCACTCACTTTCAACAGGTTTATCAATGTCTAATTCTTGAACAGTGTTGGTAGTGTTACAATCATCATTGCTGTTCTCTTGATATAAGGAAAATGATACGTCATTTGTCTTCAAATAATTCAAATGTTGAACATGAAGACGACAGTCTTTGCCAGATCCTTGAAAATATACCTAAAAATAAAAACAATGTGATTTAATATTTAATCAAAATAAAAATTATAACAAATCGTATTATTTGTTATCTCTAATGAATCTTGAAACGTGTACCTTCTGTATGGATTGTTTTGCATTACACAATTTGCACTGCCATTTGCGTGCTTTCTTCACTATATGTACCTATAAAGATGCGAAAAAAATGAATAGGTTATAACAAATGCTACTATTAATGACATCCAATTTAAGCTTACTTGGTACATTTTGCAAGAATAACAACGTAAAACATTCATATCTTGTGGCATTTCTGAAAATATGTTGTAATTCGAAAACTAGGAAACTACACAGAGCTTCAAATTCAAGTACGACTATAACCGCCACTCAGGAAATGTCAGATGTTCTTTGTAGCTGAACCGGTGTAGATACACTCGTAGTACTTAAAATGAAATAGATATGTATTTGAAGTTGGCGAGAGTAGAAAATTTTAATGCACTCGCAATGCAGCGACAAAAGAACAGACTAATTTAAAATAATAGAGTGGAGTAGGATACACACACACGAATATGTCCTAAAAGTAAAAGTAAATTCTTAATTTATTTTTTATATATTATTTTATAAAATACATATTGAATTAATATATTTTGTATTATATACGTTCAAAAAAAAAATGACAAATCTAGACATTTATTGTACACAGATGTACTACTAACATTGATGTTCCATATAATTTACTTCAATTCTATTGTACAATTTGGCAGAGCTTCTGTAAGCTCTCTCCTAAGTGAAGCTTTATCTTCCAGGTATGGAATATCAGTAATCTTTAGAGTCTTCAGATTTCTGTAGAAGATAAAAAGAATTCAATATTTGAGCTATATATTTTTACAATTTAACAAGCATTGAAAATAATATTTTTTAAATGTAAATATATGTATAGTAATATAAGATGCTTACTTGAGATTTTTTAAACTGCGCACTCCTTGATCGGTTATACTCTTACAATCTTTGATTTCAAGAGTAGTTAGGGTATCTTTCACTGCTGATAATAGTGGTAAGGCGGTGTTATATAAATAACGACAACGTATGAGTTTTATCTCGTCGATATACCTGCAACCAACTGAATTTCTATAAATATTACCCTTTATAAATATTACCTATCTAACAACATGACGATGTACAAGAATTCATTTATGAATATGCAACTGATTTTTTTAAACTAACAATAAGAAGTTTCCCGGACAACAAAAAGTGTTTAAAATCAGGTCATAAGACGCTTTCTGCATCTAAAAGACGACTTAAAGGCGTCTTATGTCATATAATTTTAGACTTTGTGTTGATTGGGTTGCTATTTTATCTCTATTACAATATTAATTAACATAATACACATTTGATTAGTACATTCATTGTTCTTAATGAAAAATTTAAATTAATATCTGATTCCAAATTATGTCGTATTAATTATATTGCTATTATCAAAGTATTCTGAGTTAAATCTCACTGTCAAATATTATTATTATTATTTATCATGTATACACATGCACATTTAATATGATACTAACCCAAGTATGGAAACCCTACATGTGTTATTCCAGAGTCTGTACCATCTATTGCTTGAATATAACATCGATTTTCATCCGACTGTAATTTATTGTAATCTTTTAAGTGTTCTGAAAAACCTTTCCATCTGACACTGGCACCATTCTTTAAGAGCCACTCAGCACATGCACGATCTGGGCCAACCGACTGAATTCTTTCATAGTCAACCCTCAAAATAATTATTATCTTAAAAGTTATATATTAGCAAATGATCTAACAATTAATATAATAATGAATTTTGTCGGATACCTGTTAAATATTATGGTTAACCAATAGAAGAATTCTCTGTTAGGCACTTTTCGACAATGATTCGTGGTGATTAAGAGTCCATTTAATATCTATATAATATATAACATTTATATAATATAATAAAAATTATATAATAAATAAATAAAGTTCCTGCATTTTATATTACTGTCAATTGTTATTTCATATAGAAATCAAAAACACGATTCGAGTTAAGCATCTTTCAACATGTTATTGTATCACACTTTGTTTATTTGATATAATCATTTTTTATATACATATATAAAATAAACAAAATGTGATAATAAAAATGAGAGTTAATCATATTATGGTATTGACAAATACAAAATATAATAGTATATCATACGCGTGGCATCATTGTGCCTTTAATTATTCTAATCAACTGCATGTACAAGTTTACAACACGCCTGTAAGCATGACTATAGAAGATTAAATTTATTGTGAACACAATTGTCAATCAAACAGTTTCCTTGTACCGGATATATGTACCTCTGCCTGTACCGTACCAATGGTATCAATACGGCGTACTATTATCGACAGGAGAGAGACTGTGGAGACCTCTAGTCGAAGACAATATACATAATAACTGGTACTGTGAAAGTACAGCGTATGATCAAAGAGGATCCTCTTCGATAGTTCCTTAGAAAGAGGCCCATCACGTCCTCTCTCAAGTTTCTCTGCTTCTATTCTATGGTAGGTCCACAAATCACGTATACAGTAACAATAATGCATTATAAAAATATATTAATTAAAAATTGGAATAATTTAAATCTAAAAAATATAAAAAAGTTAAAAAGCGTTAACTATTAAAAAAAAAAAACGCAACAGAGAAGATGCACTCAACTTTTTGATTATGGCCGGTATTCATAGTCAGATCTTATATTCAAGACCGGTCTTAAGAAGTCACGAACCAATCAGAAGGCTGCATTAGAGTCTTAAGACATTACTTAAGACGGTCTTGAAATAAGACTCAACTATGAATACCGGCCTATATCATTTAATTTAAATGATAAATATTCATGTGACGCTTTTTATATTTCTAATGTTTTTCTTAAGTTTAAATTATTCCGAATTTAGTTATTATTTTTAGAATATATCATTATGTAATTACTTTTGACATTTTTAGATGGAACAACACCATTGCAATATAATGTAAATAGCACAGAACAAGATTAAAAGACGTATTGCCCGCCGAAAATATCCGTGGCTACGTAGTTCAACGTGAACATTTGTGCACACAGGGGCGCCAGTAAACTCGAGTTCCATTTAAAACACTGGTGTGTCAGATATATATTTTCAAGCTTCTTTCTGAGTTCATTTTTTGTGCTATACTAATGTCACATTTTTTACACATAGGCACAGTTCAACAGTTGTTCCACCTTTTCGTAAATTTTACCTGTCGGGTAAGTAGCAAGATTACTCAATCACATGCGTGGATTGGCAGATTTACCTAGCAGGTAAAATTTATCAAAAGGTGGAACAACTGGCCCTTAAATTAGTAGAATTGATCTAAGTTATAGCTTACAGTTAGATATATTGGAGAGAAAAAGAGAAAAGATGAAAAATACAAAGAGTTTAATTACAAAACATATAGTAATCCATTTGTTTTGAAACGGGACACAATTTTTTTTTAACATTTTACTTTGAAGTGAGTTTGATACATTTTAAGTATTTGTATATATAATACTGCAGGGTGACTATTAGGATTATGTTGAAAATAAACCATTATATTTTCCTACTTTGTTTTGACAAACATTTGTTTTAACACAATTCTAATAGCCACCCTATTTTAATGATTGCCGTTGTCAATAATTAGAATATCTTATTCATGCTATTCACAATCAGATGCTAATTTTTTCAAATCTTCTTCGATGAAACGATAACAGTGCCATTGTTCCTTTGATGTCAGATCATTGGCTCCATACATTTTGTAAAACTCTTGTGCTGGATTCCACTTAAGAACCACAAAGTCTAGTTTATGACAATCATTCTCAATTGCTTCCTGCAAATATTTTATTATTAGACATATATCACATATGTTACTCTAACTGAACGTACCTTTGCAACAGCTTTTAGAAGTTTCTTGCCAACATGTTTTCCTCGAAAGTCCGACGTTACATAGATATCTTCCAGATACATAGATTTTCCACACCATGTGGAATAAGTGTAATAAGACAAAGTATATCCAATGACCTTTTCATCAGATGTTGCTACGTTACAGAAATATAAAGGATGTCCGTCGAAGCCATCTCTTTCTAAGGCTAAAAGTTTTTCCAAGTTTTTTACCATAAGATATTATGTTAAAGATATTTCATAACATAAATATATAACTGTTATAATATAAAAATATATATATCTCACTTTTATAATCAATTTCTGGTCCATCGGGCATTTTTTCGTAGTCTGCCAATTCCTGAAAAATAATATATTCTTTATATTATCCAATCGTTATCGGTTATCAACAAAAATTACCTGTATGAGCATTCTGATGGCTTCACAATCTTCACGTCTAGCTTTTCGTATGATTATTTCAGACATTATCGAAAACAAATATAAATTCCGGCGTTAAATATCAATAAATGTACGAATATATGTAAGAAAGCAAACCTAATGATTATATGCCCTTGAATGATCTGTGATAACTGATCTAATCTAATAGATATATGGATATAATGTAATGATTGGTATTTATGTATGTAAATATACATACATATATGCATACATGTATGATCTATACGTAGCTTCGTCAGATGTGGACTAGTATTAATTGCTATAGTTTCTGCATTTGTATCCGGAAGAGATTGGAGAGAGACGTATTTTAAGCCTGCGGTGCACGATGCTTGTTTTCTTGCTGGATTGAAATCTTGCCACTGCATTGGCTGCGATATTAGCACTGATAGCACCACAGCCAATACGATGCGTGGCAAGATTCTAATCCAGCTAGCAATCCAGCAGGAAAACAAGCATCGCGTGCCGCCGGCTTTACTTCTCTTTCTCAAAGTGTCCGCAAGTCTGCTTTGCGCATGTCACTTAAACATATAACGCATTAATATTATTATAAAAATGTTAAATGATATATTGTAGCAAAGAAGGAAATAAGATTCTCTTTAAAAATGTAAAGTGCAGGTAATTAAAAAAAATATACAAAATAAAATTAAACGTTCAATATATAATACATGTCAAGCATGCGCGAAACATATCTACTTCCAATTTCTCTTGGAGAGAGAAGTACGGACAAGGACACAGTCTTGTTATATCTATAAAGTCGATGGATAAGATAAGATAAACAGAATAAACCGATCGGAAAGGAGAAATATCAAAAGAGCACAATTAAAAATCAATTTGATTTAAAAAATTATACATTGCGATACACGCTGGAATGTATAAAATATCACAGAAATAATATTAATATATTACTTAATACAATATGTATTACTTAAAATTAAAGAAATAATTTTTTAATCTTAATTTATAATATAATTTATACGAGAAATTTTTTATTGAGTTTTCAATTTTGAAATAATAAAATAATAATAATATAATAATAAAATAAAAATAGAGAAAGTACGGCACAATAATTATAGCGTAAAATTTTTTGAAAATATATTGGGATAAAAATCAATTTCGTTGCACTCAATAGTCTTTATTTTTATTAATATTTTATTATTAATTTAAAATTATAGCCATTGCAATAATTACTGTTTAATTTTAATTTTGAAATTATAATTTTAAATTAATAATAAAATATTAATAAAAATAAAGACTATTGAGTGCAAAAAATTGATTTTCAACTTAATATATTTTCAAAAAATTTTGCATTATAATTATTGTGCCGTGCTTTCTCTATTTTTATTATTGTTTTATTATTTCAAAATTGAAAACTATAAAAAATTTCTCATATAAATTATATTATATAATGAGATTTAAAAATTCTTTCTTTAATCTTAAGTAATACATATTGTATTAAGTAATACATTAATATTATTTTTGTGATATTTCATACAAATTAAATATTTGTATATATAATATAATCATTACTGCTGTTAATTAATTACAATACATTTATGCTATTCACAATCAGATGCCAATTTTTTCAAATTTTCTTCAAAAATACGGTAACGATGCCACGGTTCCTTAGATGTCAGATCAATGGCACCATGTCTTTTGTAAAATTCTTGCGCTGGGTTCCACTCAAGAACTACAAAGTCTAGTTTGTGACAATCATTCTCAATTGCTTCCTACAAATATTTCGTAATCAGATACATATTGTATATGCAATCTTGACAATAATTGAACATACCATCGCGACGGCTTTTAGAAGCTTGCTGCCAACATGTTTCCCTCGAAAATTCGGTGTTACATAAATATCTTCCAGCAACATACCTTTTCCACACCATGTTGAATAAGTATAATGAGAGACTGCGTATCCAATGATCTTTTCATCACATGTTGCCACGTTACACAAATATAAAGGTTGCCCGTCGAAACCATCTCTTTCGAAGGCTAAACAATTTTTATCATAAAATATTGTTTTAGACACATTTCATAACATAATATGAAAGCACACAAATCTCACTTTTATCATCAATTTGTGGTCTATCGGACAGCTTTTCATAGTCTAGCAGTTCCTGCAAAATGATATCTTTTATGCATAAAAGTTGTCCAACGTTTTTATCGGTTATAACAAAAAATACTTGTGCAAGTTTTTGGACGGCTTTACAATCTTCACGCCTAGCTCTTCGTACGATTATTTCAGACATTGTCAATAACAAGGATAGATTTCGGTTTAAATATCGCAAATAAATGTGAATATTAAAAAAATGTTGAAAATATTCCGTACAGATGGAAGAAAGTAAACCTAACAATTGCAACCTCAAATGGTCTGTGAAATCTGAGACAATCTAACAGCGATATATTATATATACTTATATATGTGTATGTAATACGCGCGAATGATATGATGTGCACGTATACCTATATATAGGGTGTTCGTAACCTACGGGATCGCCCATCATGAGCAGGTAGAACGAACTGTTCGAAAAATTCTTTATTATTTTGCAATTTTCGCAATAGTTAACTAAATATTAATTACTAAAAATCGATGAATGGTTTTCAATAATTTTTTATTCAAGTGCTATCGACTTTACAGAAAAACAGCAAGTGATAAAAATTGTTTATTTTCGTCTCATAAAGTTTTGAGAACTTTTTCAGAATTTTTTACCGTATTTTCTCATGTTGATGAAAATAGTTGCCGATAAGAAAAATGCAGCACTAAAGAGTTAATAAAAAATTTTGAAAAAATTCTTAAAGCTCTATGAGAAGAAAATAAATAATTTTTATCTCTTGCTGTTTTTCTGTAAAATTGATAGTACTCGAATAAAAAATTATTGAAAAACAATATTCGGCTGTCTTTAAAAATTAATATCTCGTTAACTATTGCGAAATTGCAAATAAATATAAGACTTTTCGATTCAGTTCAGTTCGCTCTACCTGCTCATGACGAGCGATCCCATACGTTACGGACACCTTGTATATGTTCGTATTTACATCACATTTTATCAACAAATGCACCCATTTGTCAATAAAAGTGAAATGTGACTATCTTATCAATATAGATTTGCTATAGTTCATACATTAAGAACTGTGCAGTGTTACAGAAGTTAATTAGAAGTACGGAAAGACATATTTCTCTCTCTAACCTTCGGAGGATAAAATATGTATATATATAAGAATATCATATTGAAATAAAACAAACTGAGCCAAGAACGCAATCACAGAAAGGAAAAATGTAACATTTGTAATAAGATATTATTTTAAAGATATTTCATAACATAATAAAATATATAACTGTCATAATATAAAAATATTATATATAAATCTCACTTTTATAATCAATTTTTGGTCCATCGGGCATTTTATCGTAGTCTACCAATTCGTGAAGAATAATATTGTTTATATTGTTCAATCGTTATCGATTATCGAAAAAATTACCTGTATGAGCATTCTGATGGCTCCACAATCTTCACTCTCCGGTAAAAAATTTTTCATCTATAAATATGTATGTATAAACATAAACACGCATAAATATCCATAAACATGTATAATTATATATGAAATATGTCATATATTCTTCTTTCCTTTGTAAAATTACTTTTTAGTGTAATAGAAATAATAATAATAATGTGAAGACATTAAAAACGTAATTTTCGCACTATTTGTTTCAGAAAAAATCAAGTTTAAAGAATTGTAAAAAAATTACTTACGCATAATTATATATAAAATTATGCATAATTATGTGTAAGCAATTTTTTTTACATTTTTCCAAGCTTGTTTTTTTTTCTAAAACAAACAATACGAAAATTATCCACTTAATTATTTTTAATGTTTTCACATTACTGTATTATTATTTCTATTACACTAAAAAGTAAGTTTACAAAAGAAAGGAGGATGTATGAACATGTATGGACATATTTCATATATAATTACATATGTTTATGAATATTTATGCGTGCTTATGTATGTTTATACATATTTATACATATTCCATGCATGAAAAATTTTTTACGTCTATCTTTTCGTATAATTATTTCAAACAAAATCAAAAATATAAATTCCGGTGTCAAATATCAATAAATGTACCAAAGTATGTAAGAGAGCAAACCTAATAATTATATATTTCCTTGAATGATCTGTGGTAACTGAATTGCGATGATAATGTAATAGATATATGCATATAATGTAATGATTGGTATTTATGTATGTAAGTATACATACATATCTACATACATGTATGATCTATACGTAGACTTCGTCCGATGTGAACTAGTATTAATTGCTGTAGTTTTTGCATTTGAAACAGTATCCGGAAGAGGTTGAAGAGAGACGTACTTCTCTTTCTCAAAGTGTTCGCAAGTCTGCATTGCGCATGTCAGTTAAACATATAATGCATTAATATTATTGTAAAAATGTTAAATGATATATTGTAGCAAAGAAGGAAATAAGATTAAAAAATCTCTTTATACATGTAAAGTACAGGTAATTAAAAAAATATACAAAATAAAATGAAACATTACAATGTAACACATGTTAAGCTTGCGCGAAACATATCTCTATTTGCAATTTCTCTTAAAGAGAGAAGTATGGGCACAGTACGTCTTGTTATATCTATAAAATCTATGGATAAGATAAGATAAATAAGATGAATCGATCAGAAAGGAGAAATACCAATTGACTAAAAATCACTTGACTAAAAAAAATTATACGATGTGATGCACGCTGGAATACATCAAATATCACAAAAATAATATTAATATATTACTTAATACAGTATGTATTATTTTAGATTAAAGAAATAATTTTTTAATCTTATTTTACAATACAATTTACACGAGAAATTTTTGATTGAGCTTTCACTTTTGAAATAATAAAATAATAATAATAATAGAGAATGCACGGCACAATAATTGTGACCCACATTTTTTGAAAATATATTGAGTTAAAGATCAATTTCGTGCACTCAATAGTCTTTATTTTTATTAATATTTTTTTATTAATACTTTATTATTAATTTACAATTATTGCCGTTGCAATAATTATTGTTTAGTTTTAATTTTAAAGTGCGTTTGATACAAATTAAATATTTGTATATATAATATAATCATTACCGCTGTTAGTTAATTACAATACATTTACGTTATTCACAATCAGATGCCAATTTTTTCAAATTTTTTTCTAAAATACGGTAACGGTGCCACGGTTCCTTAGATGACAGATCAATAGCACCATGTCTTTTGTAAAATTCTTGAGCTGGGTTCCACTCAAGAACCACGAAGTCTAGTTTGTGACAATCATTTTCAATTGCTTCCTGCAAATATTTCGTAATCAGGTACATATTCCATATGCAATTCGAATTGAGCATACCTTTGCAACGGCTTTTAGAAGCTTGCTGCCAACATGTTTCCCTCGAAAATCCGATGTCACATAAAGATCTTGCAGCAACATACCTTTTCCACACCATGTGGAATAGGTGTAATGAGAGACTGCATATCCAATGATCTTTTCATCACATGTTGCTACATTACACAAATATAAAGGTTGCTCACCGAAACCATCTCTTTCGAAGGCTAAAAAATTTTTATCATAAAATATTGTTTTAGAGATATTTTATAACATAATATGAAAGTACATAAATCTCACTTTTGTCATCAATTTCTGGTTTATCGGACAGCTTTTCGTAGTTTAGCAGTTCCTGCAAAATGACATTTTTTATGCATAAAAGTTGTTCAACGTTTTTATCAGTTATCAATAAAAAATACCTTTGAAAGTTTTTGCACGGCTTTACAATCTTCACGCCTAGCTCTTCGTACGATTATTTGAGACATTGTCAATAACGAATATAGATTTCGATTTAAATACTGCAAATAAATGTAAATATATTTTAAAAATGTTGAAAATGTTCCGTACAGATGGAAGAAAATAAACCTAATAATTACAACCTCAAATGGTCTATGAAATCTGAGACAATCTAACAGCGATATATTTTATATACTTATATATGTGTATGTAATACGCGCGAATGATATGATGTGCACGTATACCTATATATAGGGTGTTCGTAACCTACGGGATCGCCCATCATGAGCAGGTAGAACGAACTGTTCGAAAAATTCTTTATTATTTTGCAATTTTCGCAATAGTTAACTAAATATTAATTACTAAAAATCGATGAATGGTTTTCAATAATTTTTTATTCAAGTGCTATCGACTTTACAGAAAAACAGCAAGTGATAAAAATTGTTTATTTTCGTCTCATAAAGTTTTGAGAACTTTTTCAGAATTTTTTACCGTATTTTCTCATGTTGATGAAAATAGTTGCCGATAAGAAAAATGCAGCACTAAAGAGTTAATAAAAAATTTTGAAAAAATTCTTAAAGCTCTATGAGAAGAAAATAAATAATTTTTATCTCTTGCTGTTTTTCTGTAAAATTGATAGTACTCGAATAAAAAATTATTGAAAAACAATATTCGGCTGTCTTTAAAAATTAATATCTCGTTAACTATTGTTATATATATATATATATATATATATATATGTCCGTATCTACATCTCATTTTATCAACAAATGTCCATTTATCGATAAAAGTGAAGTGTGAATTCTTATCAATATAGATTTGCTATAGTTTATACATTAAAAACAGTGCAGTGTTACACGGAGAAAATTTTATATTTACAATGACTATAATGTAGTAGCTGCGGTCTTCACGTAAATTACAAGTTTAAATGCTACAGTTATTTTTTTAAAAACAATAATACAACGTAATTTTTACACTTGTTTGTAGTAAAAATTTTTTGTTACAAAATCAAATTTTGTTAAATGAAAGTTAGTATTACAAAGATAAGTAAAAAATATATACCCAACAAATTTTGTTTGCGTACCATAGTAAAAATTAACTGTTTTCATGTTAGAATATCGCTTAACAAAATAATTACTTTATTTATGTGATAAAAATTAGTATTATCATAGGAAAAGTTAAGTCGGAATTATGTTGTGAGGGTCCATACGAAAATACAAGACATAGTAAAGTGTAATTTAAAATTATATTAAAACTTAATATAAAATTTTCTCCGGGTACAGAAATTAATTAAAAGTACGGAAAGACATATTTCTCTCTCTTTCTAACCTTCGGAGGATAAAATGTGTATATAAGAATATCATTATTATTAATGGATAAATGTCTTATATTAAAGTAAAACTTGCGTGGAAGGTGGGTAAAATAATTGGTCCAAAAGCAATTAAAGTGATGGCAGAAGCTCGAGCTGCGCAAGAACAGGAGCATTAAAAAATTATAGAACTTCCTAAAAATGTGGATTTTAACAATAATATATTAATTTTATTATAAAAACTTTATTATAATTATATTATAAGAAGGCACATCCGCGGCGCCTTATCTAATAAAGTTTTCACTACCAATAACAGTACAAAATAAAATAAAATTCTTGTTATAGTTTAAGATTGACCGAATATTTTCGTTTTTTATTCATACTGATTGGATGACTAATTTCTAAGGAAAAAAAATGATAAAAGTAGTGATTTTTCAAGTGTAGACATTTTTTATTCCAAAAACTTTTGATTTAAATAAAATTTTGTCTCAGAGAGACAAAAAATGTCTATCTTAGTCCAATTAAGCTTACAGAATTTTTGCGGAATTTTTAATTAAAGTTTAGATTTTTTAAACAAACTTTGCTTTCGTATTCTTTGTTTAGTTTGTTGTCTTGTATATCCCACTTGTTTGGGATATACGGCATTTTTAGCAAGCGGGCTTTATGCCCAAAGCATACAAAGTGCGCAGATTGAATTCAATTCACTAAATGCAATAAACACATTATATGAAATATGTATCTCATGTCATAACACTTGTAATATACATATGTAGGAAGATTGTAATTATTATTTATTACTTCATATACATATTTACCATTCTTATTCCTTAATAAAACTTTATAAACACATTTTATAATGTCATTGTGTCATTATACGTCTTATTTATATGCATTATTTGTAAACTTGTCATGAGCCATACCCCTCTCCCTATGGGTAGCCATATATCCCACCCCCATGGGATTGCTTTTCTCGCAGTTACTGCACAATAAAGAAGTTCAAAATCTGAATACAGTTACTAAGTAGTAAGAGAACAATAATACTGGAATAAGCTCTTCGAAGATACTATAAAGATACTATAAATATAATAAATAATACTTAATAAATTAAATTTTTGATAGGTGCGGCGTATATACCGGAGTTACCCTATCTCCTAGTAGCGATGTATCAACAATAACTGATTAAATATTCAGGATATATTGAATTAATACAGGGCCAATATTGTAGGAATAAATTGTATTAACAAAGTTATACATATACACACATAATTTATACGTATACGTTAAATTTTTTTAGGCCTATTACTTTTTGAAGGTTGTTGAACGTGTTATAAATAAAAATGTAGTTTTTGGAGGTTGTTGAACGTGCTACAAATAAAAATGTAAAAAACATAATTTTCCAAATATGTTCCCAATAAATAAGAACAAATTGAAATGGATTGAAATTTTATCCATCCAAATATGTAATTTGAATAGCGAAAATTTTTTTTTGGATTCAATTGGATTCAATTAGATTCAATTTGAAAACAGTTCAAATTGAGTTAAATTTAACAGATAAATCTATAACATCAAATTTAATTCAATTTTTAAATTGTTTTCTCTCTCTCTCGTACTAGTATAAAATAACGACAATATTGAGGAACAGCAGTTTAAATCAGATCAAATTTGACACTACAAATTTAACAATAGGCCTATTCTTTTTGATTGAACTTTTGCATCAGTTCATTTTTCTTCTTCTTTTCTCCTGAAGATATAAGGAAGAAAGATGAACTAGTGCAAAAATTTAGCTAAATAGAACAGGCCTAATGCAATTCAAATTCTGAATTTATGAATCAGTGAAATAATTATTGCTTTGTGAAGGTTGCACACGAACAATGTTCTTTTTCAGACATACAGTTGTTTTTGCAAAATTCGCATTGATATTATCAATTATTATCGCTTCCAAGTTATAATAAATAATAGTTATTAAAATTTCCATTAATAACTATTTTAAAGAAAAATAACTATTTCCATTAAAGAATAATCAACAGCAATATTGGTCTCATCACTGAATTTTCAATCCACATTAAAGTTGTATACGACAGAATAACATTATAATATCTAAATGTAGAAATTTATGTAATAAATGGCTTAATGTTGCTTTTTATAGTTTTAAAATTATATTATTTTTAAGTATAATGTACGTATTATATTTAAAAATAATATAATTTTAAAACTATAAAAAACCTACATACATAGCGTGCCATGTTCTACAATTTAATAATTTTGTGTATGTAATTTCTTATATTATTTATTTTTATATCTTATATTTCTCCCGTATAAGATAAAAATGTTTTTATTATGCATGTAATATTTATGTACATATTTAGAAGTAGCAATGTTGCTTTTTATAGTTTTAAAATTATATTATTTTTAAGTATAATGTACGTATTATATTTAAAAATAATATAATTTTAAAACTATAAAAAACCTACATACATAGCGTGCCATGTTCTACAATTTAATAATTTTGTGTATGTAATTTCTTATATATATATTATTTATTTTTATATCTTATATTTTTCCCGTATAAGATAAAAATGTTTTTATTATGCATGTAATATTTATGTACATATATTGAACATTATTGCAATATAAAATGTAAGTACTTCCGTGTTAGACACGAAAACCACGACTAGATTGCATTTTGTGTGCTATATAAGCTCTACACGTCGCCGACAAATCAGAAACGTTCGTACAGGTGAAAATAACTTGAACTTTAATAAATATTTAAAAATGCAGCTGTCACATCTATCGGTATTGGTTCTTACCATAATTTTCGTTATGGCGATCATGGATGCATTTGGAGCATTCGTTCCAATTGGTTTTTATGTAAATGGATCGCCCTTGTTAGAGGTAAACAATTTTTGTAGTTAAATCTCTATAGTGTTGTAGTTAAAATGCGTTTTTGCGATTTAGCAAAATATGGAAAATTTTTTCTGTTTCATTTCATATTTTTTAAAATTATTAATCAAAAATTATCTTGCGTACATGTTTTAATTATAATATATATGGAATTTAATTATAATATAAATGGAATTATTTCTTTTTTACAGGCTAATGCATCCGCTCCGAATGTATCCACGGCCGGAGAAGTCAACATACAATTGTATTTCAGAAATGTAAGCAATTTTTAGTTAAACCTCTATAGTGTTGTAATTAAAATGCGTTTTTCCGATTTAGCAAAATATGGAAAATTTTTTCTGTCTCTTAATTTCATATTTTTTTAAATTACTAATCAGAAATATCTTGCATATATGTTTTAATTATAATATAAACGGAATTATTTCTTTTTTATAAAACCTTTTGGAAATTGTTTTAGAACAAGATTCACACTCTGGGGAAGAAAGGGGTAAGTTCTCCCACAATATACATATTAAATATTATATATTTAAAAAATCAACAATAATTTTTATAATATATCGTTATTACTGGATAATTGTTTCTGAAAAAGGCGGTCAAGTTCGTTAGAATAGTTGTGTAAAAACAAGTTGCACTTAATGAGAAATTTTTAGACTCTCTAAAATATGGACTACAACAATAACATATACATATATATATACATATATATATATACCCATTAGGTGTACAACTTTGCTTCCGCCGTTTTTTTTCCGAAATTCGAGGCTTCTTTGTAAAAAAACTGGTTATACATTTATGATTCAAAGTATTGTCCATCGCTGCTCACTACTTTCTCCCATCTTTCGGGCAGCGTACGAATCCCGCGTCGAAA